GGTGACAAATTTCCAGAAAAATGAGAGCTTTCAGAATATATGTATGAAATTGATAAAATTTTAAATTTTGACCCACTTTTGGGGGAATTATACAAGGTCCCCCTTTCGTAAATTTTCGTTTTTCGATATTTTCGGTCGTTCGGTTCGCACGGAGGAAAACAAAAACAACCCTTAATGAAAGTAGAGGACATGAGGTTTAAAACAAGCCCAAGTTCATCTTGAGGAAACGATTAGAAGCGGAGTTATGAGTCTTCAAAGTTGACGCGGCGCGGGGGACCCTTGTATGTTCAGAGTCTCAAGGTCACCTGCGCCCCCCCGGATTGCCTGCTGGTTGCAAGTTTTTGTGTTTTTATGCTTCTGTAGGTCGTTTTTAATGTAAATCATTCAATGAAGATAGAATAATCTGAATTTTTTAATTTTACACAATGGGTCTTCGGTGAGGTACACCACATTAACGTTCAAAAATTTTAACTGCGTTTCAAATTGCCCCCTCAAGAATAACTGAGACTTGTTTTGAAGCTCAAAGCTCGTCTGCTTCTACAAGAAACTATTTGGCTTTACCAAGTGAGTTCCGTCAAGCGCTTATAGCTCAATTAAACAATTTTAAAATTAGGGGTACCCCAAAATTTGGCATCAATGGGTTATAATTTCTAAATGGTTCAGTTCTGTATGGAGTATATGTATATTTGAACTGAGGGTCCATGGTTTCTTCTAAATTATAAGAGCAGAATCTTCATCGTCAGCAAATGTTTAATGAGGTATAATGGATATAATGGTTGATACTCTAAGCCCCCTCTCGCTCCTCCCGTAAAATTAAAAAAATCCGATTATTCTATCTTCATTGAATGATTTACATTAAAAACGACCTACAGAAGCATAAAAACACAAAAAATTGCAACCTGCAGGCAATCCGAGGGGGGCTCAGGCTCAGGTGACCATGAGACTCTGAACATACAAGGTTCCCGCGCGCCGCACTATGGTCCCATAGCCCGATTTAAGCGGCATTAAATCAGATATGTAAGTATGTTTATACCTTGCAACATGAGTTTTCAGGGGTTTTTTGGGTCGCTGAGTGCAAATATGCTAACATTTATCAGAAAAAAACCAATTGTTAACATTTTTATACTTTTTTATAACTGCGGTAATAATTTGTGGAAAAACCTTAAATTGAGGCGAACAATAAACGGTTCCGCGGTGGTGTAGTGGACACCGTGTCTAACCCGTAAACCTCAGGTCCCAGGTTCGGTCCTTGGAGGAATTTTTTTTTTTTTTCTTCTTCTTTTTTAAGCTTCACAATTAAATTTTACAATGGATGGACTGTAAGGAGCTAAAAGTAGAACTTCGTCGAACACTACTGTCAAGGGAACTTGAAAAAGACAGCTCAGGATAATACTAAAAGTTTTTGTGCGTTCACGACTGCAACGTAACGGAGGAGGAGGCAGGAGTTTTAAGCTCCATTAAACACAAATTGGAAGCAGCATTTTGTGAAAAATTTTCATGCCAGTCCAAGATTACTGACTTTTTTAAGCACACCTAAAGTTTTTTCAAGTTTTAACTACATATTAGTTTTAAAATCAAATATTTTTAATTTTTTTAATATTTGCACAATACTATATTTACAAAGTGGACGTCTACAATATACAGTGCAGTGAATTACAAAAATCGTACGGAGTACAGCCGTTTGAACATTCCCTGGCGTTTCCTGCTTTTTCCTAATGTAAGCCATTTTTTTCCTAAGTTCGGTTAAAACGACGAAATCCCGTGGCCCCTTGAATGTCGTATAAACCGGTACCTATCTACTGTACTTCAAAGTTTCATGGCTGCGGAGGCCTACTTTCAAGTTCCACCGATCAGCCGTTTGAACTTGTTTTCGTCTGCCAAGCTGAACTTAAGCTTAAATACATCCATTTTGATAGATTATGTGCTTGATACATGGGTAAACGTCAAAAAAAAAACTTTTGCGGGACCTCAAAGTAGCTTCCCAAGACGATTTCATCGCTTGGGAGCCTTACTTTCAAGTCCCACCGATCAACCGTTAAGAACGCGTTTTCATCTGCCAAGCTAAACTTGAGCCTACATGTATCCATTCTGATAGATTATATGTTTGAAACATGGTAAAACGTCAAAAGAAAACTTTTACCGAACCTTTAAAGTGGCCTCCCGAGGCGATTCTTCGCTGTTCTTGAGCATAAGTTTCAATTCCTTCCGATCAGCCCCATCAACTCGTATTATTCTGCCTGGGTAAATTTAGGCTCTAAGGCATCTGTTGATAGAATATGAGAGTGGAACATGATAAAATGCATGGTCAATGGCATATGATAGCTAATAGTAGTGACTGCAAAGAAACGCGAAAACGTTATTTTTCATGAGAAATAACTTGAGGCGATTGTGGATGATTGATCTGCCACTCATACTAAAAGGTAGTCTAGAGTCATGACAATAACTTCCGAGTAAAATTACGAGGTGCTCAGAGGTGCAAAGTATATTTTTTGGGTATCCTACTTTTGCGATTTTATTAAAAAAACTGACTATGTCCAAGGGTTAATCTAGAGCATTAGACATGATAAAAAAGAATTGTTTCAGCATGGAACATCTTGAAATTACCTTATGTTTTGTAAATCAAGTACCCAAACACTTTCAGTTACGGTGAAACAACGAAAACAAGCCCTTAAACACAGCACTGCCGCTCGGTAACTGGAAGCGTACTCAGAAGTGCTCCGCGCGCCGCACTTCCCAGGCTTGTCACATCTTTATTAGTGTTTCAATATAGATGATATTTTACAGGAGTCTTCTTTACAGTATGTACTATCGATCTACGTATTGAAATCGAACTTTTTCCAAACTGCATTTTTCCGATTTATTGCCGCTTAAATCGGGCTATTGGACCATAGTGCGCCGCGTCAACTTTGAAGACTCATAACTCCGCTTCTAATCGTTTCCTCAAGATGAACTTGGGCTTGTTTTAAACCTTATGTCCTCTATTTTCATTAAGGGTTGTTTTTGTTTTCCTCCGTGCGAACCGAACGACCGAAAATATCGAAAAACGAAAATTTACGATAGGGGGACCTTGTATAATTCCCCCAGAAGTGGGTCAAAATTTAAAATTTTATCAATTTCATACATATATGCTGAAAGCTCTCATTTTTCTGGAAATTTTGACACCAATATCATCTTTCTACGACAAACCGTTGAGAAATTATGCTACTTTAAAGTGTTTGACTTTGACCCCCCATCACCCCTTTTCCCAGGGGTTAGGCAAAAAATATGGCCAGTTTTGAGTGTCCGGGAAGACCCTCTTTCATCCCTGAGAAAATCGTAGGATTCCGTGTTTAGGCCGATTTGGCCGTTTAGTTGTAGGGTCCTTTTGTTTTGTTCCAAGTATGAAACCTAATGTCTTACTTTATCCGTGAAATTTATTTTGGTGTTCAACTGGTACGGCTGTGGCTGTGTGTTCAACCAAAATTTGAGAAAAAAAATTCAAAATTATGTTTTTGCCGTTTTACTCAACTTCCTGGGTATTTCTAAAGTTCCCTTTGACAGTTTACCACGTGCGTATAGAGAGACTTAAGGAGATTCCTAAGTTTCTAGGGTTTAATCCTGAATTCTGAGTGTTAAATGAAATTTCCTCATGAAAGAAATCTTTCACAAAAATTCTTAACTCTGCGCCGGATACATCAATAGGCCTGTTGTAAACTTTTGCTAGAGCAAAAATAAGAGATGTTGCTTCAAGAAATTGGCTCAAAAACCACGGTGAGTGCATTGGCAAGGTTTGAAGTGCACTCGTAACTTCAAATCTGTGTTTTGCTTTTCTTTTTAATGCGAATTTTTTTCTTACTAGGTATACTAGAAACCTCAAATATACCTCATTTTAATTTAGGACCAGTTTGTATTGATGAGGATAATTCAGGTTCTGTTGCCATTGGTAAACTTGGCAATTTGACAAAACATTCTATACACATTGAAATCAATTACCATTTTGTACATGGAAGTTATGCTAACGGGATAATTGATATTGTTAAAATTGATTCAGAACATAATTGCATCAGTATTCTCACAAAATCGCTGGTAATAGTGAAATTTTGTAAACTCAGACTTTTGAATATTCTTTAAATTTTGTTTGACTCACCTCCTATTGGCATTAAATTTTGTATTTTTCTTCTTTAGGGCCGGTTCTATCACCTCTGGTAAGATGCTACATACCTAACCATAGAATAAGCGTGTATTCTCTTTTCAAACGAGAACCTGTTCTATCACCTCTTATCTGTCAATTTGTCCTCTGGTTAGAATTGTGCTATTGTTTTGAATAATATAGGAATGAAATGCCACCCAAATGCCACCAATAAAAGGCGCATTACCTCTATAATTTCAATTTCCTCCATGCATGCAAAAATCAGTTGTAAACTAGCTACGCCAGATGCCGCGATATGCCCTTAACAATGTTTGAGAAGAATAAAGGAAAAACAAGGAATTGCTGAAGGAACGTTTTCCGTGGAAGGCAATATTAACCAATCAGAGACCAGGATTTAAATTTATCCCTCTAAGCATTAGACAGGAGGTCCGGGTCATTGACGTATAATACAATCTGGGCCGCACATTAGGAAATTTCGGCGAGACGATAGGCACCCCGGATTGCAATGCATACCGAGACAATGGAAATGCCAGTCTTGCCTATGCCGCGTAAATCCGGCTGTATCAACTAAGCTGAAGGCGTGTCTTTACCCTAATTTACCCCCCTACCTGGCTCACCTCCCCCGACTAAAGTCGGACCTAGTGCGCAGTCTAGATTGTGTTGTAAGTCAATGGTCAGAGTACTTGTCAGATATTTTCAAATTTTTCCAATTCAGCTTTTCCAAAGCTAAAGACCAGAAGTTTGTGGTGACAAGAGGTGATGAAACGCTACTTTCGCGTTATCCTCTTGTCAAATGTAACCAGCAGTTTGACTAGAGGTGATGGAACTAGAACTTAAGGAAAGCCGGGAGCAGAAAGATAGGGTGAAAAACTTTAAAGTGTTAAGAAATTTTATTAAATTTTTGTTTCACTTTCCCTCTTCAAAAAATAAGCTAAACGTAGCACACTAACATTACCTCCGTAATTAAACTTGGCGAGTATTGCAATTTAAATTGTTTTCCGCATTTCTGTGCGTTTTATGCTTCTTTTTAGAATTTAAATAACTAAAATCTTGTATTCCTCATACATTTGTAAATTGAAAAAAAAAAAAAAACACAGAGGAATGTTGTATTGGTACTATCATTGCATATTGTGTAAGGTTAGTAGGTACCATATTTTTGTACCGTCGTTGTTCTCTGTGTATTAGATCCGCCAAGTCATGTCGCTGTCGTGAAAAGCGGGGAGCAAAGAATAAAATGGGATTTCCATTCCAATAAGTCGTTTGTCTATTTCAACGGTTATGCAATTTCAGTAATGCTTACGCTAGTGAATGAGATGCAAAGGATGAATTTTCTGAAGGAAATGATGCAGTTTTACACACATTAAATAGTCTCGAGTAGTGTCATGGATGGGGCGCAATGCGCTAAAAGGAGAATACTCTGCAGTATCAAGAATTTCTTTCTTTTCAACATTTATTACTTTAAAAAGAAAATATATTTTGACAGTTTCTTGATACTCAAGAGATTTCTCTTAGCCATGAAAATTACTAGTAAATTTCCTGTGGACCAGAATTTCCGAACAAAAATTTCCAGGAAGGTGGTGTTTTCAAATTGTCATTGTGTTCTCTTCTGGGATAGATGTGTAGCCACGAATCAAGAAAGGAAATGAGATCTAATGCATCTGGAATGTTGTCACCATCAGAGCAAAATTTGAGTAAGATCAAACAAGGCATTTCTTTACTCTGACATATTTTAAATACTTTCGAAACAAAACCAGCTCCACTGAGACAGATGGAGTTTTTTTTTTCATCATACTGCTCTAAAAGTTTCCATGTAAGCTCATCGAATTCCGATTTATAGTTTTTCGACATGACTGGACAGGCAACATAACGCACTTGACTATCAGTTAGCTGAGCATCAAGTCTATTTTGGGCATAAGAACTGGAAAGAATTATAATTTGTTTAACATTGTGATTTTTAAAGAAATCTATTGCTGAATTCAAAAATTCTGTCTCACTATTTTTAACGATAGCAGATCTGATTTGAAAAAACACTAATTTCAGGGACTCTACTGCAAAAATTTCTGCAGCCAAACCAAGTGTCGAAGAGTTTTCATCGAAAGGGTTCTGGCCAATGACTGGAAGTACTCCTCTATGCCAAAACTGATAGATCTTTGTTGCATTAAAATGATGAATTGAGCAATCTATAGCTAGCTGACCCGTATTTCCTACAGAAATTGATGGTACAATCAGGGTGAAGTCTTCCAGATTAATATTTTTTCTCAAGTCCTTGACTAGCATTCTGACTTGATTCAAAGCCTCTCCTGTGGGTGAGAGAAACAAAAATTAAATTTCTGGGAAACAAAGATGAACAATAGATCGGAAAAAGGACACAAAGCGACTTGACCCAACCTTTCAAGAGGGACAATAGACTGAGCAGTGCTGAAAGAGTGCTATATGTATAGACTTAAAATAAATCTTGGTAGTGCATCTTAGGAGTATGCAAGATACTCAAAAAAAGGTTTTGTTGAAACTTACATGGACAGCACAGAAAAAATTAATCCAATCAAGGATCTATAACTCCGCGTAAGGGTGAGCTATTTCCGGAGCTGAGTTTGGGTTTTTCCTGCCGGGTGCCAACAAATTTTGCAGTCCCTCCCTTCTTAGTTATACACTTGAATAATAAAGAAATATAATGTTGAATCCAACAACAAGAAGTTGCGGGCGTATGGCGGGTCCTTTAACGGGGTGGCCGGTACCCAAGTAGAAATCCTACTCATATCACTAGAATATTCTACTCATAAGAGTAGAAAAGTTCAACTCATATGAGTTAAACTTTTTTCATTTTTCAGAAGTGATGTTTTTGACCAGGAGACACCGACATAACTTGTAAATTTGAAAAATAAGAACATTTTGATCTTCTAATTCTTTTGATGCCGTGACCAGTTTCTGAGATATCGGACACGGTAGATTCAACGCTGAACTCATGTGAGTTGTAATCTCTAGTCATATTGCTCATATGAGTTGGAATCTCTAGTCATATGAGTCGGCGAAAAGTGAACAGAGAAATTCTGCTCATATGAGTTAAATTCTATTCATATGAGTTGAAATTCTATTCATATGAATTGAAATTCTATTCATATGACTTTGATTTTCTACTCATTTGTACTCACCATTTTTAGCAGGACCTAACCTTCTACGAGCCATTGTTTTTGAACAATTGGCATTTGAAGTTGGCGATAAGGAGTCAAAGAGATCCCTCGTTTCTGCATTGAAGTACGGTTGGCTGTGTGTATCAATAAAGAAATCAGGAAAACCCCAACGCCAAGTGACTGTCATATTTTGAATTTTACACCGCACGCCTTTTGGCTTGACGATCCAAATCAGATTACTTCTCTCTCCCACTGTCTCCCTTACTTCTCACTAACTGAGGGTTTCCTTGTTTCTATCAACCACGTTCTTCAGTGCTGGAAGAAAGAGAGGTCTTCTTGACTCTTCATTGCCTCGCTGCTTCCTTGCATTGGAGAAATTATAGGAACTTCAAGTGCTGATTGTGCAAAAACGGTGGCTTATCTCTAGAGGTGGTGCAATGACTGCAATGATGGCTTTGGAGCAGCATCCATGGACGAGTTGAATGCAATATGCAATAAAAAATGAGAAATCGATCATGGTACACTTTTCCATTAGGAGTGTGTAGGGTCCTCTGGATGACATCCTGGATCAACATCAATCTGTGACAGCTCTGCAGCCAAAAACAGGACGGACATTCTTTCAAATTGATCAAGGGCCACAATTGAGGCACTGGATGCGAAAAGGGCACTTCTTGGTTGCAGTGTTCCAGTCTCCAATAATATTTCATTCATTGTAAGAAAAGCAAATGCATCCATTTCACTGACAATGTTACTGAATATTTCTTAGGATTCTACAATTTTCTATGGAAAGAATTCTGGAAAATCACCCATTAAAGTCTTCTCCAAGGAATTAATTAGAACCAGAGATTCTGTAACACTGCAATTGAGAAGTGCTCTTTTTGCATCTAGAGCCTCAATTTCTAATTACTCCAAAAATAATCGAGAAATAGTTCCTGAAATTCTGGCAGAGTTTAGGGCTGTTGCTATCATCTGGTTTGACGACCGACTGGCAGCATCCAGAGGAAGAGGAAAAGTGCTGAAGAAACATCTTACCGAAAAAGAAGTATTAACAATTGTAAACAATGGAACAATGCCCGCGTTTTGAATAATCAGCAAAAACACGCACGGAAATCACGGATAGGTTAGGAATTTCATCAAAACAATGGGCATGCATGAAATAGAGTACCTGTATAGGGAGAGTAGCGACAGATCGGTTCATGGAGGGCTTAGGGCCCAAAAGTGCAGCCACCCTTCTGAGCAACTTCTAACACACAAAATTTCACTGCCAGCCTACAGATTTCAATTCTAACCAAGATGGCTAAGAATGTACATAAATGAGCGTTCTTTCGCAAAAATAAGTAAATTTATGCAAAAAGTAAACCAAATACATGCTTTCTAAACGACGGTTCGTAACAATTGTATTTGTAAATCGCTCTGGACATTCGAAATTCATAGGTTGGCTGCCCTTTTGGGTTGGGCCCTAACTTTATGAATCTTTCCGACTGGCGACTTGGACGGTCAACCGTTGGAATTCGGCGATTTACCCCGAATCTCCACCGCGGCGGTGCATGTTCGGGGATCGAGCACCTCAACGTTTTCATGTAAACAACTAAGATGGCGGCGCATATTGCGTGGGTGTTTTGAATTTATAGATCGCGGGCAAGGTCCACACTTTAAGCGGACTTGAAGCAACCACGTACTTAATTAAAATTTACATTTAAATATTTTTATCAAGTTAATATTAATTCCTGATAGTCGAATGAAGGAAGTTTTCTCCCGTTAAGACAAAAGCTGCAATGTCGCCGTTTATCAATGCATTCTAGGAGAGAAAAAGTAGCAGCCAGAAGAATGAGTCTTGAGCGACCATCCTCAGCATTCATTCCTTCTTTTCAGAGATTTTTTGTCATCACTTATCAGGGATGTAAAATGAAATCTAACATGATATGAAAGTACACAGATTTCTTAGGAGGAGTGTACACCACCCATAAAATTATCTTATAATAAAATTAAGAGTTTGACTCTTATTTTGTTAAATATTGAGATTTTCTGATTCTACGCATTTCACGGCCTACTGAGCCTATTGCAGAAGTTATACTTTCATGAAATTTTACCTTATATGAAATTGCATGCAATTTTGCATCTCTGTTCATTATGGAACCCATTCAGCAGGCTATCAAGACTGAGGCTGCTTTAAAAATGTAAATGGTGCTAGCAAGAAAGGGGTTGGGCCTCTAGGAGGAACATATTTTTTCAAATTAAAATTTATCATGAGGGTGAAAATTCTCACACATCAGGCAAATAGGGATTGTCCCTTCCCCCTTATTCAGTGAGAGTACTAACATTTTTCTGGGACAATTTTGGTCAATTTCACTGTGAAGTGTGTCAGCAGCGCCCAACTCCCTCCCCGCAGGCACAAGACCTCTCCAGTTAGATTTCCCGGGTCCAGCTGAAATGGCACAGCTACAATTAATCATTCAATCTAATCTTTCAAATCTACGTTAAGTCGTACGTTTATGGTAGACTTCAGATTTCGATACTTGTCTATTGCGCATTTGCAAACATTTGTTTTTTTTTGTAACTGTCTTCAAAACACCAGCGTCATTGTCCGGTGGATTTTCCATCAGAGTCTACACACTTAGACTCATCACTGACCAATTTCTCTGGAATATCTAGCATGAATGGTTAAAATGTAGATTTCACTTTGCAGATAAAGTAGCTGAGGGCCTGAAAAAAAATTTTCACTTATATTGACTTCTTTAAAGACCTTAAAAGAAGCATGTGGACTTTAGGTCTGGCTGTGTTATGAGAGGCTGCACAACAGAATCAAATTATTCTCTTGAGATAAATTCCTTACCTCTGAACTAGAAAAGCCATTGATTCAGCTTTGTTCTGACCCCAACACAAATAAAACAATCAGCCCAACAGGCAGCAAGCGTCAAGAGATATTTATGCATTTATCCTCTCAGTTATTTGCACTTGGTCTGGAAAATACTGAAATAATGGATTATACTGCTGACAGCAATGGAATTTGTTGGATGTTCGACGTCTTTCGCAAATATTGACACATTACGGCAAGAGGCCGGTGTTACCTTTGATGCATCAACGAAGAGGTATCACAAACAACTTCAAAGTTAAAAGTTACAAAATCAAGCAGCGCTACTACATTTAAATTTGAGAATACTAGATATTCATACCAATTAGGTAAACAGAGACGTTTGGAGACTTTTATACGTAAATTCCGGTGGAAAACCCACTCCACGAAGACATTGGTACAATGTACAAGTGGAGTGAAACAGTTGCAAAAAGTAAACAAATACTTACGTTCGCGTAACGGTGAGCTTAGCTTATTGAGGCTAAAATGGAACGACTGAAACGATTAAATTAATTTTGAATTATCATTATACTATAATCGATCAGCACACGATGCTTGGGCATGGACCAAGAGAATAAATAAGGACCCCCAACTCCGGTTAGCGCTGACATCAGCGCTCCCTGGCAGAGGGTGTAGTGAACTAAACCGATGATTGGGTCTTCCTGTTTATATGTCCATGCACCACCTATTTAGGCTTATCACTCAGTAGTGCTCAAAGAAGTTTCTAGATCCTCGTATCCTCGTGGTCGCCCTGCAGTTTTGAAGAGTTTAGTGTGAAAAGTTTCCCATTTTCATTTCAATCTTCGTCAGTCTTCGTGTACATAAACTGGTATTAATGTAAAGTGTTATTTCTAACCGTTTTACTCAGCAGCAACTGCTGTTGAAAAAGCCAAAGGAAGTGTGTATGTAGTGTGCAGCAGGAATCAGGATTGTACTTTTAGCCGAAGGCGCCTCTCTGTTAAGTGAAATCTTTTTAGTGAGATATAGTGTTGTACTGATAAAAATCAACTGAGTGTCACAAAATCAAAGATACTTGACTTCAAGCATTACCTTTAATTTGATTATTAGCAAGTCTCTTTGATTCTGCGTCAGAAGTTGACTGAATCATCTTTGCTCGTGTTTTGATAAGATACTTCAAATCAAAGTCTTTCGCATTGACCTCTACCGAAGGTATGTATCTATACAATTTCATTAGTAGTATCTACACAAATAAATAAATCATAGATAAACAAAGAACATTGCATGGAATAACATACTATAGAGGTACGATCGTGGACCGCTGCGGCGTTAGTTCACCGCACCCTCTGCCAGGTTCGCTGCGAGCGTGCGTTAACGGTTTTTAACACAGGGTAGCATAGGGAGTTGGGAGTCCTTATTTATTCTATTGGTCCATGGCTTGGGCATGCGATCGGTTCGGTAGGCTTGGTTTCGTAAACAAATATGGCGGCGGTCCGTCACAACGTTGACAGTGCCGAACCCCCGAAAACGCACCGCCGCGGTGGAGATTCGGGGTAAATCGCCGAATTCCAACGGTTGACCGTCCAAGTCGCCAGTCGGCAAAACCCTAACTTTATTCGCGGAGGCATCGGTGAAGGCCTGATGGACTTTCGGAGTTTCAGATCTGTCGCTACTCTCCCTAATAAACAGGTACTTTAGAAGGGCCGTTTGTAAAAAAACTTGCGCACAACTCTGACCGCGGAGCATCAGTGCATCGTTCGCATCGGTTTCACCGGTGCAACAATTCGGTGCCACCAGCCTTCCCCGGCTTTTGATTGGCTCGCAATTTTCCTCAATTTTCTTTAGTTTGAAAGACAATTTCTCGTGGAAGCCTCTCTGAAGTGTTTCTCAAAGCGACTACAAAGCTATTGATATATTACACCTACCATGTTTCTGTTTTTTTACTTTCAATTTGAATGAAGTCTCAAAAAAAAGCTGTACCTAACCTAACCTCAACCATGGGTGTTCATTTTCATTGCAAAGAGAAAACATTGCAAATAGCCACCAGCAGTTCTCGATCTGAAATTTGACTAACTTTCAATTTAAAATCATCTTTTGTGACCTAAAATGGTTTTTTGTCTTTCAATCAGTGTCGTCTTAATACCTTTTCACTTCAGTTTCTAAAGTTTATGGCGTTTCTTCATTGTTCCTTTTGCTCTTAATGGTTGAAGCTGAAGCCAAGTAGCTCGTCGGTTTGATCTGCTTTTTTTCCTCGAAGAGGATTTAATTGTGCCTCTCCTTCAAGTCTCAGCTTTAGCAGTGTTACTTTTTCATCATAAACAATTACTTTGGTAATAATCAAAAGTTTACATTTCAGTTCTGTATCTACTAGTGTCTGCATCAGGAATCGTTTTCCGAGAGCAGCATCTCATGACTGCAGCATACAGATGGAAATTAAGCTTGTTTCCTGGTTTTACTTAAACAACTTGTGCTCTAAATTTATCGTTAAAGTGACAAATGGTGTGTATTACTGTACCCGAAAGCCTAGCGTAGAAACTTTGAGCACCTGTCTCAGTGTGAGCGGTCCTTTGTTGCGGTCAAAGCTGCTCATTGATGACAGTTTCTCAAAGGAAAAGTCTTCGATGTGTAATATATCAATAGCTTTGTAGTCGCTTTGAGAAACACTTCAGAGAGGCTTCCACGAGAAATTTTCTTTCAAACTAAAGAAAATTGAGGAAAATTGCGAGCCAATCAAAAGCCGGGGAAGGCTGGTGGCACCGATGTGTTGCACCGGTGGCACCGATGTGTTGCACCGGTGAAACCGATGCGAACGATGCACTGATGCTCCGCGGTCAGAGTTGTGCGCAAGTTTTTTTACAAACGGCCCTTCTTAGTGTTTCGTGTTTTCTTATTTTCTTCTTAATTTCATTTAGGAAAAAAATCTGAGCTCTGATTGGCTCCTGACATCAACGATCGTCGGCATCACTCAGCACTGATCAATTCGTTTGATGAATGACATTCGATCGCGAAAATTCGCTTTTTATTACAGGTACATACTCTAGTCCGGACTATGTCGCCGTTCGTTTGTTTACATTAGGAGCGAGTTTGACACCGATGACAGACTTTGGTTTTTGATGAAAATTTGGTCTGGAATATCTGGATTGGCCAAACCAGGGACCAGTTCTATAGGACCCTGGACTCCCGTAAGAGTCAATGTAAAAATTCGTGAGCAGGTACTAGTGCTGCTATCGCGCGTAGGATCCTCGCAACTCACTGCTGTTATCAGTTGTTGGACTTCATTAAAATCCGTAGGATCGCGTATAACTGCGAAAAATCGAATTTTTCGTCATACTTACAGATGCGACGGGCCCTTCCTCGTCGAAAGGGGTCGAAAAACGCCAAAAATATACTTATTTTTCAAGAATTCAGCCGCCTTATGTGTTATTTTTCAATCTCCGGCTTAACCTCACTTTTGGAGCGGGCGATGGATGAGTCGAGGTTCGGGGGGAAGGATCCTCTGAGTTGACTAGGATCCTACGCGAGAATGCGCTGCAATCACCCGCTCACAACAGAACGGCGTCCTATAGAACTCGTCCCTGGCCAAACGCAAAAACCTCCAGTCAGTTTATTAGTTTATTTACATTTGAGAATCTTGCATTTGATTTTGATTATTTTCCTTTTTCAGTTTTTACATATCAGTATTTTCTTGTTTCCTGATTTCATTATTCTATCCATGGATTTCGCCTTCGATTTTTTCTGATATGAGGTAAGTCTTGGTATTTCTAAGTATTTATGTGAACTTGTGAATCCAAGCCATCTGCATCTCTTGTGTTATCTGTAACTAAGTAATGTATACTGTTTTTAGCCGTTTTCTGCAATTATTTTCAAAATTTGATTTGATTTATCCCTGTCTTACTTTAGCTCTAGTCATTAATAACTTTGAATCCGCTGAAGTCAATATGTTAGTAAGTAAATTATATGATTTCATCTTTTATGCATGTCATGACTGATAGTTCGTTAACGGACAGTAAAGAGCTGGTTGATGCTGCTCGAATTGTTGTTAATATTTTTCATATTTCTGAGCTCCCAAGGTACTAATTTTTACTGAACAATAAAATATGCCCCATCTATGGTTAGAAAACAAAATGCGCTCTCATGGGTTAACGCAGTGAGCGGGTGCAAAGGCCTATCCCTCAAGGATGGTATTATTCGAATGCGGACACCACCACTAAGCTGCCACCAGTACCTTTTATTGAAGTAGAATATTGGAAGGACAAAGTACCCTCTTACAACATTGTCTGTGACTGATTGTCAATCGTAATTATCCGTGAAAAACATTGTACTCCCCAACCTAACTATCGCCTGGAAGTTGAATTAATTGACCATTCTTTTGTTTCAGGAAATCAATTGAGTATTTCAAATTGCAGGCTACTTGCACCCTTTCTTCAAGTAACTAACTGCAGATAAGAACAATGGAATTTCTGGAAAGTACATTCAGAAACTTTGTATTGGTAGGAAATTGCATTCAGCAAGGCAATGCTGATTTTCTAGCTTTGCTGGCTCCAAACCTTGCTCATTATTACTCGACATTCGTCCGTATCAAAGACTTTTTCATTGATGATGAAAATGTGAGTGAAATTCTACTTTCTGTTTTAAATCTCTTTCGCCATCAGTTGTATCGATGTGATAGTCTTCTAATGCAAGCAACTTGCACTAGCCGTGTTGAGTCAAGATTACCAGTTGTAAGAGAACAGCATGTGGGTCAACCTCGTCTAGACATTCCTGTGGACCAAGTTGTAACACTCCACCGTTGCGGCTTAACCTGGCCGAAAATTGCCAAAGCTCTGAATATTTCTCGGCAGTCTCTATGGAACTTTAGACGTCTGAACAATGTACATGATGCTAGAGCTTACAGCAACATTAGTGATGAAGAGCTGTCCAATATGATTTCCAGCATCAAACAGGAACATCCATCAATGGGTTATAGATACATATGGGCCAGTTTGAAAGCTCGGCAGATTTTTGTCACATGGGAGCGTCTCATTTCTTCTGTCCGATTGATTGATCCTATCGGAATACTCAATCGACGCCGCAGAAGGCTAAGAAGAAGACAATACCGGGTGAAAGGTGCAAACTACATGTGGTATGTATTACTTACTTTTATGGCCTGCCACCTAAGCAGTTCACCATCGAAAGTCTATTATATAGGTTATGTAATGAATCAGTTCTGGGTGGGAGAGAAAAGGACGCTTATTGACACGGGTCTATTTTTGCCTACCTCCCTCGTACTGGATTGATTTTTGGATATTTTGTGGCTTAATGCATGCAAAAGGCGAAAAGCAGCATGACTTGTCCTATTCTGTGTTGTATCAGTGGTAAAGATTTGTTGCCCAAACAACTGGCAAGCTGATTTTAATTAAAAAATTAAATGTAAAAGTGTCAAATGTTAAATGTGAAGTGTGGCAGTTGAAGAAGCGCACCCAAGAAATGCTCAAAGCGACAGAGATGGATTTCTGGCGAAGATCGGCTGGAATCTCGAGAAGAGAACGCGTCAGAAATGAACAGGTCCGAGAGATAATGGGCGTTGAGGGACGATTGTGCATGATATCATGACCAAGCAATTGGTATGGTATGGGCATGTGCAGAGAATGGCTGATACCAGGTTGCCGAAGAAGGTGTTGGAGTGGGTCCCCCCAGGTAGGCGACGGAGAGGGCGTCCAGCCAAACGGTGGGTAGAGGGCATCCGTGAAGAGATGGAGAGATGCCAGCTTCCGGAGGATCTCTACCATGACAGATTCCTGTGGCGGGTAGGCGTCGCAGAGCGCCCTAGTGCGCCGTAAAAGCGGCTCATACATACATATCCAGGCTGTAAATCAACTCATTAACTATCAAACAAGATTCCTTTTTGAACTCATTTAGCCTATAATTTGTTGATTGACAGCTTTTTTTACGAGACCAGTTGCTCCAAAGTCCTGTTAAATTTCAGAAATTTTTAAGTACGAAAAAGGAAAAGGAAAAAGAAAATTTTAGATGCCAAACTTCCGAGATTGCCACAAACCTATGCTTCTAGTTTTAAAGCTCTCTTTTTCCCTTCATTTTCCCTGAAAAAAGAATTCAAGAAACCTTATGTGATCCAGGTGTTTTATTTGCTAAGTTGGCACCACCCACAAACTGGGAGACAAATTCTTTGGCAGTGGCGTAAATAAAGTATTCACTATGATGTTAAACCAAAACCAAAGCTAAAGTCTGAAACCATGTAACTCAATTCCGACGTCGCAAAATTTCCGCCGACAATTTATTTTCTTACAGTAAATCCGTTGTACAGATTTGCATAAACATTTTACTAAATTTTCTCAAAAGCATGAAGAAAAAGCTGGGAAATTTTCTGACAAATTCAAGCAACGATTTTCCTGTTCAAAAGTAAAATCTTAGCAAACGTTTTGTAACGTCGCAATTAAGTCACGTAGTTTCAGACTTTAACCATCGAAAAAAAATTGGCCTCCGGCCAATTTATGCGCGGCGCTTCGCGCCGGCATTTGGGGGGCTTCGCCCCCCCCCATCCGCTTAGCGGATTGGTGCGGGGACCGCACGGGACTTTCTCGCTCGAGCCGCCGCTTCGCGCCGGCATAGACACTTTTACTGGAATATTTAGAAAAATACTGCCAATTTTACAAAATCATAAAGTTTGATTGGAATTTTGATCACAGGATAATAGTTATGAAATTTTTATTCAAACCA